TTGAAAAAGTAAATTAGCAATCCACTCCACAACTGGAGGTAACTCGAGGACAGCAATATGCTTCATTACCCTCCTTTCCCATTTCTTCATGATATTGAAGGGGGAAAAGAGAATAGAGAATAAGGCAAAGACCAGTAACCATGCCAGGCCTAAATAAAGGATATTAAGCAGTTGAAAAATATATGTGGCTTTGTTGCTTGTGTTGTTAAGTTGTTATTTAGTATTATAACAATGATGTGAAAAGAAACTAATTCTGTCCAACCCTGCTACTGTTTCCTAAAATGTTCATTGTGCTATAAGTCACTGGGTGTATAAATGGAAAGACTATTTTTTTAAAATACATATAATTTTAGAAACAAATTTATTTATTTATTTATGAGACTTATATACCACTTTAAGTGCAAGCACTCTGTAAGCGGTGTACACCAGTAAGCAATGTATATATATATATTTACATTGCCCCCAACAATCTGGGTCCTCATTTTACCTACCCCGGAAGGATGGAAGGCTGAGTCAACCTTGAGCCGGTGAGATTTGAACCGCTGACCTGCTGAACACAGTCAGCTAAAGTGGCCTGCGAACCTGTTATACTCTTAGACATAAAAAGTAACAGTTCCATATATCTGATCATTATAGGAAATGTAGGTCAGGCTTGCTACCTGTTACCCTCTAAATGTGTATGGACTACAATTCCAAGAATTACTAGCTAGCAATATCTTTCTAGTCTGAGAATTGTAGTTTCAAAACAGTAGGATACATTTATGTACACTGATTAAATTTACTAATATCACCCTCAGTTCCCTTGAATGTTAATCCATATAGTCAAAATAATTCTTTTTTTTTTACATAGGAAGGAATAATGGAAAAAGTGGGAAACAAAAACAGTAGGAAGGAGCAAGGATGGGATGGAAAAAGAGCTCTGTGGGCTGTAGCATTTTTATTACAGGTCCCTGTGCTAATTTTTTTATATAAAACCCCAGAGTCTATTTCTAGTTTGCTTTCCTTTCCTTCAGAAATTCAGAATAGTATACAAGGTTCCTTTTCCCCATTTCACTCTCATAGTCACCTTGTTAAGAGAGTGTGACTGAATTTAAAACAACTGGTTGGGCAGTTGGTGAACATTAGTCTCCAGAGATCTGGTCTTGGATTATAGTCCAGCTGCTATAATGGCTGGATTGCCATATTTTCCTAAATTATAGGTATAATTTGCTAGGTTTCAAGGCAGCCTTTCTGATTAGGAGACCACAACTTAGGGCTTAGTGCATTATCTGAATGAAATCAGTTGTGATTTATTCAAGAAACTATGATTAACCAACTTAATTTGTCAACTTGATCAACACTCTTGTGGAAAAATGCAAGGACTCTTATGAATTCCAGAGGGTTTAGCAGAGAGATTTATTACGCAGGTTCAGAAGCAGTAGCAACAAGCAATTCTGAACCCCGAGGGTGGGTTCAGACTTCAGTTTTATACTTTCTCTTTCTCAGGAACAAAGGAATACACACATTGTGATACATTAGGTTAGTTTCTCACGGGTATACAATGGAGAGAGTTTTCTACATACATTGTATCCAAATGCAATGTGCATTAGGTTAGTCACATATTACTAACACAGCATTATTCCAGTAATTATGCAGACACATCATTATTCTAGTGATTGTTAACTATTCCACATTATTCCACCTTAACACGAGTCAGATTTCTCTAATTGTCTGCTCTCCAGCTGGCACTCCAGCTGTGAATTTTTGGAGTAGTAATTCTAAGATATTTCCATTACTCCTTCCTATGTATAGAAAAAACTTTTTTGATTATATGGATTAATATTCAAGGAAATTGAGACTGAAGAACACAGGTTGGTGTCAAGCATACTGTGAACATGGAAGCTTTATTGTCTTGTTCACTATCTGTCACATTTAGCTGTATTCAGGCAGTCACATTAGAAGTATGGTAGGTTATGAATTAGTCCCAAACAGGAATTTAATAGTGTCATTCTCAGTCTCAGTTTTTAAGCTTTATCAACTTTATATACAGTATTTTTCACTAAAAGGAAACCACCCCTCATAATTATCTGAAGTTCAGCCATAAAGTAGACAGCAATCCAGGAAATGCTCAGTTCCATTGTCACTATAACCAAATGTTGTAACCTAATATTTCAAATAGGTGAAGGATATATCTCTAGTCCAGCTTTTTAAAAATATATTAATGTTGGAGCTTCAGAATTACACAGATTAATTTTTGAGGCAAACTGAAAATGCAGTTGAATTTTAAACATAAAGCATGAGAGTTCCCAAATTCATCATGTTCCTTCACTTCTGATTGTGGCCATTCATATTGGTCTTAAAGGACAACAGCATTCAATACTACTCATAGACTATTCAACTATCAGCCACTTCCCCCCCCTTCCCATTTCCTCCGAAGTCTAGCTGTCTTGACTGATGAAGAGTTTTTGAAATTGTAAATTTTCTGTTGTCATAATAAAAGGATTGTTTCAGTATGGATTTTTTTGTCTGATGATCAATGTAGTTATATGTTTTCATATTTTTGCTTACTAATACTTTGGGTATGCTTCCCAGAGTTGTATGGCCTTATATATGCTTAAAATAAGCATACAAAGCTGTTGTTCTTGAGACACTTTCATGTGACTCTGTTTACTCCCTGAGTTGCTTTTCTGCTAGAACTTGCTATAATGATCTATCATTGTAAAATTACTTTATTATTAAATGGTACATCCTTTAAATGCGTATGAAAAGTAGAAATAAAAAGGCCCATTGTGTTGAGTTTATATTTTATTTTAGATCATCGCACATATGCACAAATTAAGAAATCATCAAGATAATTTGTATATTAAAAATAATAGTACTATCAAAAACATGTTTAAGCAAATCTTTTTTTCACACAAGTTTCACTTATAAGATTTATGGTTCTATGTTTAGTTATTAAGTACCAGGGCTGGGCACAGTTCAACAATAATTCAGAAGTACTCAAGATCTCAACAGAGCATAGCTCTGCTATTCATTGAAGTAGCATAGCTGTTTCAACTTTCTGTGCAAGCCTTTCAAAAGGTACAGCTGCTGTAATGAGTTGTCTCTTAAAATCATCTGCACCTTTATTTTCAGCCTCACAGTGTCAAAAAAAAAAGTTGGGCTGCTTTAAAGAGCAGCAGGGAGGTGGTGTGCTTATGCAAAATTGGAGACATTTTTCTTTTTAAAAAAATGCTTTGCCAATATAACACATACTAGTTTCTAAGAACATATAGGAATTCTGCATTATTTACAGATAAGTGCTTGTTATTATAGTTACTGATTATGAATCAGATAGAAAATTTATCTCTCTGTTCAACTATGATTTGTAGTTAATTATATCTCATACTGAGCATATGTCTGTCCCCACTTAGCCAACATTGAGTATTGTTGTCTCATTGACTACAGCCAGAAAGAGGTAAGCAAAGATTTAACTCCTCCTATAAAATCAGTTGGACTTTAAATATTTAGATACCATAACTATTGAGGTCTGTCTGGGACATTTATTTGTTTATTTTATTAAATTTATATGGATATACAATTAAAATATAAAACAAAAACTATTAATAAAACTATTAAAATGAATTACAATAATAAATAGTTAAACATCCATTTAAAGAGAGAAGTTTCTTTATGAAGAGGACAATACTGGATGCTGCCCAATGAAACTGAGTAGCAACAGGCCCTGATATAGGCAGTCTCTTCAGATTACCTTAGTGAGTGAGATAAAGATCATCCCAGGGCAGCATTCTTTCCTATAATATAAACACAAATTATCTCCAGCTTTAAAGATAATAAATAGCACTGCAGATCTCAGCTGGAAATAAAGTGACAGCTAACATTAACCCTCAGAACAAACACAAGATGGTCAGTTTTAGTATATTTGGTACTGTATAAAAAGATCTTGTTTTATAGAAGGCAATACAATTCTGGGGCAATTTTTAACACGATATTTCTATATATCATTTCTCCAAGGTCAGGGAATCAAGACATAATCATTAACAAGGACTACATAGCAGATTTATGGCAGTGATGAAATTAGAAACAAGGACTTCCTCACCAGGTCTCCTTTCTCAGGGAATCTTTGGATCACAGGATTGTAATATTTCCAGATCCAGACTTAATGAATTGCTCATGTATACAGTTCTATTCCCAGCATTCTAATGTTACATTTTAGTGTGTTTGAGAAAAAAAATCATTTTAAGGATAAGAAACGAAAAGAAGCAAGCTATATGGGTGACATCTGCTATGATTCTTCATTGCTAAGAACATATAGATTCCAATGTCTACTCTTTTGATATTCTCGAAACACTCCTTTACTCTTCTTATAGGAAATGAATAGTTGCCACTTGTATCAATGGGAGAAAATCATACTGTATGTAGGACATTCTTGTAACACAGGTAAACTGGTCTTCTGGCCCTTAGGATCTGATCTTTTCTTCAAAGATCCTTCAGGTGATAAAAAAATGAGTCTGGTGGGAGTGTATACACTTACACTTTCTCTACTATGCTTTTTGAAGAACATCAGTGAATCCCAGATATATTATATTCTGAGGTTTTCACGGGTGTTTGTATGTAGGTCTTTGGTTATTCGGGTTTTCTCCCACGTAAAATTAGAAGTGTCTTGGCGACGTTTCGACGAAGTCTCATTTGTCATCTTCAGGCTGGTGCTTTCGGCTTCGTGCTTCTAGGAGCACGAAGCCGAAAGCACCAGCCTGAAGATGACGAATGAGACCTCGTCAAAACATCGCCAAGACATTTCCAATTTGACGCAGGAGAAAACCCGAATAACTATATATATATATATATATATATATATATATATATATATATATATATATAGTTAATACAAATGCAAAAACTATAAAGTAAATGATCCATCTGTTTTCCAGTCTTGTCTGAATACCAACAGTTTTATGCTAGCTTTAACAATCTGCTCTGCAACAGGGTAGCAGTTCTCCCTAGGAAACAATAGCCTCTGAAAAAAATCAGTTAAAATGTATCTTCTTCTAAATCCTGTTATTTGGTGGATTTAAACCAATTTGAAGTTGAACCAATTCTGATAACAGCTGCAACTGTAGTTACTGCACATCTGGGAATAATCCCTTGTTTACTTTTTTGTACCAGCTATCTAAGGAACAATTCTGAAGGAGCCTAAAGATCAATAACCCAGGCAGAGCCCAGCTTGAATATTTCCATCTTCTACATTCCATTAAACTCTGATCAGGCAGTGTCTTTAATTTTCCTTCTCCCCAGTTCCATTCACTTTCTCTAGCATCTTGCCTCATGAAGAAATTTGAAGATCTTGGAAGGGTTTATATGTTTGAAGTTGCCAAGCATTGCCCCAAAATAGATTTTGGAATTGTGCAATGAATATGTCCACAGGATTAGCAGCTAGATTCAATATGCCACCTGTGGTTTAGATTTTGAGCAATAAGTATTGCGATTGCAGTTACTGTGCTGAAGCAGAAAAAGATTTCCTTGTAACTGATCAGTTGTGAATGTTTATTAGATCACAGCTATATTGTCCATGATACACCCACATTTTTCTACAATCATATTCGGAAACTCTGCCACTTCAATTTCTGTGTAATTTCCCTTTTTGACAAGATACATCATGGGAAGAGGAGAACTCTTCACCACAGCACAGGATCTCTCTCCATAGCCAAAATGATGCAGCAAATTCTTCGGCTGCCGGCAGCTGCCCACACAATGGTAAGCTTGATAGCCAGCTGGCTCAATAATCCAGTACTGAGTCCAGGTCAACTCACGGAAATTGATATAATGCTCTTGCCGGCAGCAGGTAGACCTCTCCATCATTCTTCCTTCTCCACAGTCCCCAGGTCCTCTATTAAAAAGCAGAATCAATATTAATCTAAGATGATAGGATGAGGACTAGACCCAGTGAAAGTTTTCAGCCAGAAACAGACTGACACATACAACTTTAGGCAAGAACAAAACTATGTCTTTGGGTGTTTTAATGATGTCTGTTTATTGATTACATGTTCAACTCTCTTGGCTTTTGTCACACACACTATTTCAACATGTTCCATTTTTTCTCTAACAATTATGTTAGGCAAATTATAACATTCATTCAATATTATCTGACTTACTTCTTGATGAACAAGGATTTGTACTATCATTTTCTGCATCACAGTTATTTAGTGTGTGTGTATGTGTTGTGTCTGTATAAAATTTACTATATACCCTGTAGTATTTATAGATTATATTCCTCCCTAATAAGGTGTTTTTAATTAATTAAAGACAAATTCAAGCTTTTTGCCACTAGCAGAAGTCTTACCAGATGTGATCCTGCTAAAATATTACTGTTCATGTAAAATGTTTGTACTAGTTTTGAAATGATCTGTATGCCACTCTATGTACAGTTATTCAGAAGTAAGCAAGCAAAAATTCAAGGTTATGCCAACTTTCTTGAGAGTCTTGTTGAACACAGAATTATTTGCAATTGAAGAAGGTAAAGGACATGCTAAACAGCTGCTATCCTGAATAACCTAACTCAAAATCCAGCTGACTTTAACTTCAAGTAAACATTATTCAGTAAAGATTGGAAGCTGCCAAAATTGCCTGGGATTTTTTTTTTCATCATGAAAGACAGAAATGAAACGATGTCACCATTGTTACAAGTGCAATATAGGACACTTACCCATATTCTTCCAAGTTAAGAGTGTAAAGGACCAACTCTGGTTTCCCAAGTGCCTTATCTGAAGGGTCTTGTGTTGTAAAACATACAACTTTGGCCATTTCAGAGGCATAGCTGCCTATTCTTTCTCCTTCAATCCAAATCTCCAGGAGCATTGGTCCAGAAGTTTTTGTTTTCAGCCAGAAATGTACAGCCTGTGTAACATCAAAATTCCTCCAGCCAGACTCCATAATGGGAACTAATCTAAAGTTTAAAAAGCATGAAATGCTTAGCTGAGCCTAGAGTATTTTGGTTAATGCGAATATACTATGAATAGAAGTATAATAATGACAATACTAATAACATAGGCTTTTACTCTAACTTCCTTTTAACATTTGGACAGAGTAAAAATATACTATATTCAAACAAATTATGGGTGAAATGCACAAATGGAACAGACATAAATGAATGAATGAAAAGGAGAACAGTTATTAAATTAATGCTACAATATACAAAATAGTATAAAACAAAGAAGAATTTGGTCCCTATTGCAATTCCTGCTACCAATTAAATACAATCAATAAACCCAAATTATAAGATATATTGATCTAGACTGGGAATAAAATATTTTTGTGTTCCTAGATTTTCATGATGTTTTTAGAAATCATGTGAGGCTGTCTGAAAACCACTGAGATCTCTACATAGGCAAATACCTTAGTTTATGGCTGTTATATCCAGATTTAGATGGCACTAAGGAGACACAGAACATTTTAACTCTTTGCTACTACTGAGTGGTTATTTTGATCTCTGAAGTTCAGAAATAGTAACCATGCCTTATTTAGAATCTATTTTGTATGGCTAGCCCAATATTGTGAATGCTGTCCTGATGCTCTCGAGATTGAGACCCCGGCTTAATCTATGTTTCAAGGCTAATATCATCATTTCTCAGGAGAACAAGTGGCCACACTCACATATCAGATTGAATCATGGTATTACAGATTACATAGTTTACAGCAACATAGATGCACACATTGCTACAAACTGTAAACCATTATTTATTAACAATAGTGACTGAATTCACACACACTTACATTAAGCCAAACACAGTCTGTGAACTAGCTTATATATTAAGTTCTTAGAAAATACTAAAAAAGTGAATTGCAGAAACGTTTTAAATTATATAATATTGATTATACAATTTTAAACTTGCTATATTGGAGACAAAATCTTCCCATGCTGCAAAATACTCTTTGAGACTGTGGATTCTCCTTCATACCTGGAATCAATTAAAGAGGTCCGGTTAGTGCCATTATCTTGAAGTTGCACCCAGTACACAGTCACCCTTGCATTCATGACTGGTCTTTGTGATTGCCTGCTGGGCAGATGCTTTTTCTCCAGGGGCTTTTTGAAAAGCTTCAGTTCAGCCATGGTGACTTCACTGTTTTCTGGAATCCTGCCCTCCATGTCGAAGATCAGGTTCTGGCGGGTTGTATCTGAATAGAGAATGTCTCCTGAGATATCTTTGTGGATGGAAACAAAAGAAACACTTTTAAATCATTATTTTCAACTTCCACGTCCTATATACAAGAAGTATACAGGACATACAACACATTCTTTATTTCTCTGGAAGAGTGATGTTTCAATTATCTGGTAGAGATTATACTGTATAATCCAACATATCTGGAGAACATCAGATTATCAAAGGCTGTTTTAAATAATAACAACATGAAATAGATCATTTTGAAATCCTAGAATAAGACAGATGACCACTAGGCATCCAATTCCTTATATTTTTTTGTTACCATCTTGCACTTGTCAATCCTTCCTTTACGTAAATGTAGTATAAAATTGTAAATAATGATTAGTAAGACCTGTATCAACCACACATATTTAAATAAATGAAAAGCTTTATGGTATTTGCTCATGACAATGCTTTCTACTACTAACGTTTCACATAAACAACAAATGGAGGTCATATACTGTTATCTGCTAGGCATATATTTAGAAAAGATAAATGTGCTCACAACCTGGTACCCTCCAGATAAGTGGGGAAAGAGTTTCCAGGCAGCATAGTTGTTTTAAGAAATTGCTTTAATGCTCAATGTTTCCCCCCCAGAATGCATCATGTATTTTCAATCCTTTAAAAATAATACATGTGACAACTTTCATAGCAAATTAAATTTTTTTATCTCTTTTCCTTTATCAACATTTCTCATTGTTTGAGTCACCAAAAATTATTTCTTTATGTAGTGAGAACCATAACATGGGATTTCCCTTCATTTGTTTTTAAATAGCAATTACATAGTTTGTGATTATGTTTTCATCTGATATCCAATATGTTCTTAAAAGCAGGGATCAGCCTCATTTAGAAGAAAATGTCCTCAAAGAGCAATTTTTTTTCAGTAATCACATTTAAGATTAAGTGTTACAGTAAAAACAGATGCAGTGTATTCAGTATTTGCAAGGAAAATGACATAAATTAACTTTATGAACAATATACAATATAATAATACATCATTCTTTGATATGTATTTTAAAGAAATTTATGTTATCATGCTTTAATCTTTAAAAGTGGCTATCAACACTACCTCATCTCCCCTGCATGAGAAATAAATTAGATTTCCAGATAAATTCTAAACTTCAAATTTCATCTTGGAGGATACATTTAGCTTCAATATCTTAGACATCCTGTCTTCCTGTGGTTTAGATTAAATTTGTTAAGCAGTTGGCATTGATGAAGTTCCAGATTTCAAATGGGGATGGAGAATTTGCTTTTAGCTTCATGCAAACATGAGACCAAGTTTACCTGCATTGCCTGGAATGCCTCTCAAGATCCCAGCTAAACTTGGCAATGCTCTTCGTTTCACCCTGTGCCGCTCCAGCATGGACATGTATTTATTCCTTACATTCTCTGGAATCACTAGATTATCCAGGTCGGTCTTCTGGAGAGCAGGGACATCAGGAAGTTTCAGTTTCTCCAGCAACATTTGCTTGAGTCCTTTCTCACTAAATCCAGCAGTAGTAGCAGCTAGGAACAGGGCAGAAGTTAAGGCCCAGCTAAGACTCACAGCCATCCTTTACCAATCGGTCAAATGGGAAAAGACTCCCTAAATCACCCCTTTCTTAATACAAGTTTTCCTTGGCAGAGAAGAGATTGTGCTGTGAAGCTGCAGGCTGCCTGAGTGGGAAGGAGAACTCATAGGATGCCTTTATATAGTGAGTGGGATATCGCTGGCATAACAAATTCCACAAGCTGAAGTGAGGCAGAGGAACTGGAAGTGTTACATCCCCTTGGATACATCCAAGCCATAGTCACACCTTCCCAAGTTTAAGTAATAACATAGGAATATTGAGAAGCTTAATGTTCTTACTTCATTTATATTTTTCTCCTTATGTAGCCCCATTCCAGAAAATATGTCTATACAATGGGATTTATGTTACTCCAAGAGCCATTTTTTTCTTTGAGTAAATGCATAGATTTGCAGGGTGGCAGGGGAACTATAATTTAGCCACCATTCAGAGGAACAGCACACTAGTTATAGTATTATATGTTATATAATTATTACATGTATTATTAGATCCTGTTCACCAACTGCAGAGTGTTGTGAAATCAAATGGAAATTCAAGTTCCATATCTAGGAAACTTTGGGCACAAACTATGGCATATACAAATATTCTGCAAAGGGTGTTCTTAGGCACCACTAAACTGCTATGCAGGTTGAAGATTCTGTACTTCTATCCACAGTACTTCTGGAAAGTTTCAAATTGGGGAAGATTTCTGTATCTGACTAGGAAAAGGACATTCTTTATCAAAAGAGATATGTATTAAAATAAAAATTTCCAAAATAATCTCTCTGATCCTAGGGTGATGGTGACTATGGGTTGTTATTTTTAAGGTGACCAACCGTCCTCCTTTTGGGAGGACAGTCCTCCTTTTTTGAGTTCTGTCCTCCCTCAAAAAGTGTCCTCCTAAATGTCCTCCTTTTCCATATACTGTTCTCCTTTTGGGAGGACAGTCCTCCTTTTGGGAGTTCCGTCCTCCCTCGAAACTGTCCTCCTAAATGTCCTCTTTTTCTATATTTGAAGACTTATCTGCAGGGCTTTTTTTCCCTCATAGAACACTCAGAAGGTGTTCTGGGACCTTTTTTTGATGGTTTTTTTCAAGTTTTGCCTGAGCTGTGCTACTCCCCCTATTGGCTTTCGAAAGCCAATAGGAATTGCTGCTGAGCGCGCCAAAACACCCGGGCGGCAAACTTTGCACATGCAAGTTGCAGGAACTTTGCACCCCTCACTGCTACCCAACTACACCATCTCTTACTTAGTTCCGCAGATAGCTGGAGGAGACTGGAGTGGTAAGTTTCTCTTGATCTTCCCTGTTCAGTTCTACACGGGAATGCACAGGGTAGGCGGTGGTGCTGGGGGGCGGCTGGGGGGTGGCTGCAGGGCCGGAGCCGGCACAGCTGGTGCTTTGCGAGCCACGGGACTGGCTCTACGGGGATGCGCAGGGTGGGCAGTGGTGCTGGGGGGACAGCTGCAGGGCCGGAGCTGGCGCGGCTGGTGCTTTGCCTTTGAGAGCCGTGGGGCCGGCTCTATGGGGATGCGCAGGGTGGGCGGTGGTGGTGGGGGATGGCTGCAGGGCCGGAGCTGGCTCGGCTGGTGCTTTGCGAGCCACGGGGCTGGCTCTCTACGGCAGGGCAGCAGTGCTGGCGGGGCGGCTGTGGGTGGGGGCGTGATGGGCAGTTGACCTTCCATGGGCCACGCCAGCTGGTGGTCTATGCAGTGCTGACCTGTGCTGCCACAACCTCACCCTGTGCACCTACGTGGCCATCCTGGAGCACCTGGCTCACAACACCTGCCTCCGCCGCCCACCCCCGTGCAGTCCAGCTGTGTAGATTTTTGGACAAGTGAGAAATCGAGATTGAATGTTGATACTCTAGCTGCAGCACTTGCCGTAAAATTCAATATGAAGGATATTTCTTGTTCAGATATTTCCAATATATTGTTAGAAGATGATACATTGACAAAAAATATTCATTCAATGGAAAAGTACTCATTTAAATAATTAATAGGCATGTAAGCATAATTACAATATAAAATGTTATTGTTACAAATGTTTTTTATTATGCATTTATATATTATAGTATATTTTGTATTATTGTAATAAATACAATGTTTCTTTTATTTACGATATTTTTTTCTTCAATTTATTCATGTCATCCTTTTTGTTGTAAAAAAGTTGGTCACCTTATTATTTTGCTGTTGTTAAGTGTGTGACTTATAAATGACACTGTTGCTAAAGAATACTTAATCATAACACTGTATCTCCCAGGCCTTAGCATAATACTTTTTAATTTCAGAAACCTAAAAATATATAGATCAAGCTTTTTGAAAGCGTATTTGCATTGTTTTTATTATGGTTTCCTCTAACTTTAAGTATATTATATATGTACATCTTTAAAAGCATATTTACTCTATTTTGCAGATGAAATTTGTTGTTTCACTTCCAGTTCCTCTGCCTCACTCAAGCTTGTAAAATTTTATTATTGCAATAAGACCAATCACTACAAAATTACTATTGCTGAGTAAAAACAAAAACAAAAAGTAGAGGCTCCTCACTCTAGTTTTCCAATTTAGGAAAGCTTATCTTTCTCTTTTTGTACTGAAATATCAAAAAGTTATTTGCTCTCTCCAACTTTAATGCATTGAAAAACAATGATAATAATTCTCAAATGAAAAGCTATTCTAATATTTTGTTCTTGCAGATGTACTATATATCAAAAGTCATCAAGCATGGCTTGGGGTAACCATTACCTCTCCATAATTTTTCCAGGAGATATGAAATCTATTGTTTGTGATACATTACCATAATGACTAATAACCAGAGATTGCCTTAGGTGCTACAAATTTCTTTGCTTCTTTTTTAAAATCATCCAACCTTATGACCATCTTATCTGTGCATCTAATGCTGTAAAAAGACATGGCCACTTTAAGGAGTTTTTAAAAATCATTACATTTGATAATTGATCCTGGATAGACCAGAGACAATGTTTGTTGTGACTTATGGTAGACCAGAAGCTGTGTGGACTTTCTGTGAGTGAAATACAATAAATAGATTGTTAGCAGAAGGTTTAGAAATTTGATTTAGTTGTTGGTTTTACCTGTTAACTATGTTCTCATATACTAGATAGATGTCAGGCTAATAAATACTAATACTAATAAATATATAAATAATAACTCCTCTCAAGGGGGAGGAGTTATTATTTATATATTTATTAGTATTCAGCTAGGGGGACAATTTATGTATATGTTTGTTTTGTTTATGCAGTTTTTGGTGTAGTCTTGCTTAGCTTTGTTTTGTTTTTGTATTTTTAAAAACTTTTTGGAGTTTGTATTTTAATGCTTTGAATAAAATAAAAAAATGATTTTTTTAAAAAAGAAAACTATTACATTTGTGGCCCTCATTCGAAAGCCACATTTTGGGAAATGAATCCAAAGTGATATACTACTGTAAGAAATATGCTGGATTGGCATATTGTTCCACAATGATCAGCCATATGCCTAAGAAAAGCTCTAATCCAGGACATGAGTACAATAGACAATCCCAGCAACTAACATTTGGGGACAGGAAGAACTGTAAATTCTAAAAACAGCACAAGGCATCATGCCTAATAGCTATTAATCCCCTATCAATTTATTTAATCTTTTCTTAAAACCATCCTCACATCTTTGCACAGAAAATTAAGTCATTAGCATGTTGAATCTCCCACCATTCAGTGAGTGGTCCAGCTTGTGCTATTAAGAGAAAGAAAATCTTCAGTTTCTATAAAGAATATAGTCTCTGAGTGGTGTTCAACTCCTGGAGACATCACCAAGACATCAATGTAAATTTTCCTGGTAACAGGAAGCAATTTGCTTCCCTGTAGAAGGGATTTGTTCCTGCTTTTTTCTAGAATGCTGTCTTGACTTCCTGATCTAGCCTAACACCCTGATATTCCTTGGTGGTCTCTGGTCAATTTACCAACCACCCCTGCTGAGGAACCAAGTCTAGGTTGCCACTTGCTGAGACTGGTTTTATCTTGATCATGCAGAATTCCACAAACTGGTATTCATTCCCTTTGATCAAAATAGGCCTAACCTGGGAGATGCTCCTTTCCTAATTTCAGAATACCCATTTTTAAGTGAAAGTGCCAATGTGCTGAACAAGAATGCTGCTGTACATGTCTTTTCTTGCTTCTGGATTTCTGAGTCATCAGCCAAGTCTGAGATGGAGAAAATAATCATAGACCACACAGTAGCACACAGCTATTCTAAAACCATGATTAAAAATTCAATAAAATATAATCAGTCAGCCGGTGAATATAAATCATATCTCCATTTAATATAGCCATTGCCAAGGCTCACCATTCCTACCAGAGCTATAGGTACAGTAGCCTAGCTAAATCTCCAGATCCTTCCTGAATAAGGAGGTTTTTATGTGAATTTCAGTTCTCTTTTATTATACAGAAATGCAAATATTTTGAGATTATCATAGACCAGTTTCATACATTATGCTATCATAGCTCAGCCTTGAATTGTGAGTCTCCTGTGTTATCTAGCTGGGTAATGAAACATCTGCAAGCAAACAACCAAGCTCAAAGAACACCAAAGACTCCATAGAGATATTGTTTCTTTTTCTTTCACTCATCAGTCTTTGTGTCTTCTGCACTAGATCTGGAGAAGAAATCAGCTTTTATGAACCATCATAGACTAACATGTTTTTTTTTAATTATAATTCACTTTCATTTATCTAGACCAGTCCATTATTACTTTTTCTTGCCTTACTAGTCAATAATAATAATAATAATAATAATAATAATAATAATAATAATAATAATAATAATAATAATAATAATAAGAAGAAGAAGAAGAAGAAGAAGAAGAAGAAGAAGAAGAAGAAGAAGAAGAAGAAGAAGAAGTTGGAATGGACCTTGGAGGTCATTTAGTCCAACCCCCTGCTCAGGCAGGAAACCCTATACCATTTCAGACAAATGGATGTCCAATCTCTTCTTAAAAACTTCCAGTGTTGGAGCATTCA